TTTCCCATGCAGTGATCCCGAGAGTTGATCGAACTTTTGGCAAAGCTTCGATTTAGCCTCAGTGAGGCCATTAAACGATGCATAGCACGAGCACAGTCACAGACGAAGTAATGCTGGCCAGCACAGAAAGCGGTTGATCAGAAATAGATTGTATGATACAGACTGTATATCTGAAAGCTGCATCGTCTGCCCATACGGGAAGTTAGGTGATTGTGCAAAGCAGAGTATTGTTTCCAGTTAGAGTGCTTAAGTTGTGGAACAACTTATGTAGGAGAAACCGGAAGGATACTAAGTGTTAGATTGAAGGAACATCTGGCCAGCAAAAAGCGGGGTACAATGTCATCACCATCAGAAAAACATAGATTCGAGGCACATAGAGGTGACGATTTCAATGTAAAACGCGTATGTATATTAGCGTATGAGACTAAATTTCGGCAAGAAAGACATTAGAGGCAGCATGGATATCTGCCGGAAATCCGGGGATGAATAATAAAAATGAATGCTTGACAATGACCAGTGACCTCCTGCCCTGCATATCATTATGTCATCTATAACCGCAGACTGTATATATAGCTTTGACTCACTGAGCACCCCTCAGTGATGTCCGTCATAGTCGTGCGGACTACTAACTCCACGGTGGACTGAAGGTTGGTGACTCCACTTCAGATTGTTTTCCAGTATGTTGAGCCTAGACAAAATCTAAACACCGCAAGTTAGAAGAGGCGTTTGGTCGTATAGACTGACGAATACAAAACTGCAATCCCTTTTAGGCCTCCGAAGGAGACGATATTTGTCGAAACGTTAGGCAATAAAGGTCCACCATAAAAACCTCTCTGGCACAAAATCAAATACATAAAAACTAAATGCCGAGGTTCAAAGAAGAGAGCACATGGAAACTATTTTCGTAGATTATTTTGCACCATGAAAGAGCCCATAGTGTCTGCGTTGCCGAGAGAGTTTTTTGACCGAACAAAAAGTTAGCCACTTTTTGACCTCGTTTCAGTGCATGTGTGCATGCCTATTTACGAATTATGAAAGTTTTACAATTGACGTGAGCGCCGAAAAGAAATCAGTGGATGGTCTCTGCTAGCCTTGCTTTATCAGCACCTTCAACTTTAGAGTCGTCGATTACTTCTATTCGCAGAAAGTTATAGCTTGTAAAAAATTTATGCAAAAATTAATGTTTGAGAGTAAATTTTACTAGCAAGACGTTTTCTTCGTGAAAGTGAACTTATGCGTATGCTAGCCTATTACACCCTTATTCCGCAACCAATTAAAAAACTTCACCGAAAGGGCGCATTGTGGAAATTTTCTCGCAAGAACGTATCTAGGGTAAGGACGTACCTCGACCACTTGGAGATTTTAGGCCTGAAATCTTCTTACACTAAGAAATTTATTGAAATTTCAAATGCTTCAGAAAGCGCAAGAAAAGTACTTTCTAATGACACTAACAATACCGCATAGAAATGAAATTCTCTTAGAACAGCTACTTCAAACATAAGGCAAAAAAAATCGGACAGAACTTATGCAACAACCTAATATAATAATGATGGCTTAACATGGATAGTACAAAAGTTGCAGGTTTTGAATAATAGACAGAAAGTATGAAGTCATTTTGCACATCGCTGCACAAAAAAGGCCCATTGCAAAAAGTAGAAAATTATTTTGTTTTTTTGAGATTGCAGTCAGTGTCTGTTAATACTGTATCCGCAAGCCCTCGAAATTGTGTATCCGCATTGTCGTCCGTGATATTACTTCATGTTACATGCCTCTCGTAACTTATTTACGAGCAACTCACGGATTTCCCTCTGTGTTTCTTCCCATGCACACTGAACGGACGTTGCTCTTATAGAAGCTAAAGATCAGCATCGCACCCAACCGCACGCTCACCTGTCAGCTAGCGTTGCATTCAAAGCTTGAAGGAGTGCCGCTCGCTAACTTTACTAACCTCAACTGGGGTTTTAGCTTTGATCACCTGAGTCGGTATAGCTTTATCATAGGTCCAAGTCTAAATTTGTTGGGTACATTATGAGCAATTGTATTTAGAGGCACGTCCACCCAAAATGCGGTCGATGAGATTTCGATGCCTAAGGCCCCGGACAGCTTCACGCGATTTGATCGTCGCGACTGAATCGCGACGAGACAACTGTTACAACATCATTCCATGCCGATCAACTTGCATTTCGGTTGTTATACTTTTCCAGCCCGAGATTTTTGAATGTGAAACGAAAATGAATAGAAATGTCGGCGATTGAGTCGCGACGATCAAATCGCGTGAAGTCTGTCCGGGCCTAAGAGCCCTGCCCCCCCCCCCCCACCCCAACCGTATACTTATCCAACTCGCGCTGGCAAAAGTTGCTTCCAAAGCGAGAAAATTGCTTCGAAAATCGCTCCGATGACAGATTCGCCACGTTGGCTCCTCCCTTTGAGTGGGCATGACGTTCGTCCCGCCCATCCGTGCGCGCCCAACCAATCACCGTATCGAAGAAATCGCTCTGCGGATTCTGAAGACGGCGGTTTTTGTGGTTTTCGCGGATTTTCGACTTTATATTCGGATTCAGGAGTATGAGAAGGCCCTGGAACGGCAAAAACATGGAGGTCGAATTTTTGGGTGGACGGTGCCTTTAAGAAGGCTGACTACAATAGATGTATGGGGATGCAAGATTATGCGGAAGACAGCCTTCAATATGAAAGAGTTTTGGCGTCTTCAGTTCTCAAAAAAGAGATGTGCGAATCGGTTAGCCATTACTGATCTTGCTTGAAGAGGACCGGGAAGAGCAGGAAAAAGGGGAGGAAGAGAAGACATTTGAGCCTTTTTAGCCGCAAAGTTTTTTCAGAAATCAATTCCCTACAAAAAGCACCTCAAACAGTAATTCTAAACAGCCAAGAAAATATTGCAGATTGATTTACAACGTACACTTGCCCGCTCCTAAGATTTTTCGGAGCTTCTGGATTCATCTTTGGTGAGCATTATGCGCTTGGTAATATACAAAATCCATTCCATTTCACCTAAGACTTCGCTTCGCTTGCAAGTGCTAGCAAAGAATCCTTTACCCCTTACTGCTGCTCCTTACATATTCCCCCACTTTCATTGTGCTTATACCAACGCTTCCATTTCATGCTTGCATAAGACCTCAGATAATCGCCGGGGGCAGGCGGTCCGCAAACTCGCGCTTTTCTGCAGGCGGTCAGCAGAATTTTGGGGCGTGGCCAAACCTTCAGCGGGCGGTACTTCCGCGTTCTGCCAGCGGGCAGCAATACAGAATTTTCTGCGAGCGCTCGTCAAATAATATCTTCCAGCGAGCGCTGGCCAAACTTTCAGCAAGCGCTCGGACTCTTTTTAGATATTTTCGGGCGTACGTCGAGCGCAGGTAAGACTCTGTGTGGCAGAGGTGTCACCCTCAGATAATCGCCGGGGGCAGGCGGTCCGCAAACTCGCGCTTTTCTGCAAGCGGTCAGCAAAATTTTGGAGCGCGGCCAAACCTTCAGCGAGCGGTACTTCCCTATTCTGCCAGCGGGCAGCAATACAGAATTTTCTGCAAGCGCTCGTCAAATAATTTCTTTCAGCGAGCGCTGACTAAACTTTCAGCAAGCGCTCGGACTCCTTTCATGCACTTTCGTGCGTACGCCGAGCTAAGGTAAGACTCTACCTGGCAGAGGTGTCTTCGATGGTTTTATTACCCAAGTTTGGGGTACTTTCTCTCAGCGGAAAGTACCTGGGGGTTGCGCGGTTTTCCACAAAAGACCGTGCGGCCCCCGAAATTTTTGCATATTCTTGCGGAAAGTCCGCGAGAATGCGGCCGCTGCGCCGCAGCTAATCTGTAAAGAAACCGCGATTGTTCTTCACACATTCGTCTTTAATTTCGCCAACTTTCTTCCAAATTTCTGCAAGCGGGCCGCAAAAAATCAACGAACTATTTTTCCGGTGCGCGCTTGCTCAAAATTCGCATGGCCGCCTGCCCCCGGCGGTTATCTGAGCCGTTGGTTTAATTACTCTCAGACAATCGCTGGGGGCAGGCGGGCACCGGAAAAATAGATTGCTGATTTCTCGCACCCCGCTCGAGGATTTTTTGCAAAGCAATCAGGACTTTTCGGAAGACCGCTCGCTGAGTCAGCGGATTTTTGGGAGACCGCCTGTTGAATTTTTTTCGCTCTTATCTTTTGCAGATGTATTGCTGAATCTCTGAGAAATCGAGAAATCAGCAAGCGGCATCCCGAAAAGTCCTGATTGCTTTCCAAAAAATCCGCGAGCGGGGTGCAAGAGATCAGCAATCTATTTTTCCGGTGCCCGCCTGCCCTCGGCGATTGTCTGAGCTCAAGTTTGAGTTACTTTCTCTCAGCGGAAAGTACCTGGGGGTTGCGCGGTCCTCCACAAAGGAACGTGCGGCCTTCGAAATTTTTGCATATTCTCGCGGAAAGTCCGCGAGAATGCGGCCACTGCGCCGCAGCTAATCCATAAAGAAACCGCGATTGTTCTTCAAGCATTCGTCTTTAATTTTGCCAACTTTCTTCCAAATTTCTGCAAGCGGGCCGCAAAAAATCAACGAACTATTTTTCCGGTGCGCGCTTGCTCAAAATTCGCATGGCCGCCTGCCCCCGGCGATTATCTGAGACTGTCATATCTGTTCGACATGTCTTCACCCATTTTTTATTCATTTCAAGGCAGTTAAAGAATGATGCGAAAGCCATATAAACCCTTCGCAAAACTGCCCAACAAATCAGTTGCCGTCACAGACTGCAGATGGACATTTAAAACAGAGTCAACAATTTTGACTAACGTTTACCAAGCTTAAAGTAGACAAAGTTCAATACGCAGCAAGATTTCATCTTTATTAAGCTTTTTTTTGCATTTCAGAGCCACACTCGGCTTCCGCATAGATAGCATATAAGTTAACAAGAAAGAGAAATTGCTATTCCTTAGTTCAAGCAGCTCTTCAGATACGAATTGAAGTTGTGAATACTTTTCAGGTCACGTAGCGCTGCATCCAGAGGAATAGAAACTATTTCCACATTTTGGAGTAAGCAGCAAAATAGAGTTCATCGTTTTTGTTGGTTTGCCGTGTAGCCTGCAGCAATTTAGCAGAATTTAGACGCTTGGAATATATCGTAATGGATAGAATTATAATTGGAGAGATTAGGGTGTAAAACGGTACTATCTGAAATACTGCTAATTAGGTAGTTGTTGTCTTTGCGACTATTGATCCTGAAAACTCACGTAATTGATGGAGAACAATATACGAAATGTGAAAAAGTCGACTTTGTCGACCAAAAGACCGAGGAGTGCACCAAATATTGTGAAGAATGCATAGCAAATGTTTTGAAAAATTGAAAGAGGTAAAAGCAGTCTGATAATGGAATAATTTTCGCTTAGCTGATACGAAGACATCAAATCGTAGCGCTTCCTAGATACATATATTGAAGTTTTTTTTAGCAGAAAGTAACACTTACCTCCTGAGGGCGACCTTATTGCCAACGAACAATGTTGTAAGTCCTATTAGCGTGCCAACGTTCACGCCACAAATGACTAAGCATACAACAGATAGTCTCTCTAAGGTAGACTTTGTGGATGGAAAACATGTCGGTTTCAGCTCTACCGATAATTCGCTCTGTATTGTCCAGAGAGTAGCAGCGGAACTAGCTGCGACCTATTACGATTACTACTTTATTTGGTATTTCGTAGCAGGTAACTGAAAATATACTCACCGAGGTGACTGCAGAAATTGAGCCTAACTTCATCCCAAACGTTTCGTATTCGCTGCGCTTCCATAAAGCCACATATCGCTCAGCAACCATTGCTAAGTGCAATGCAAACCAATAGGAAGGCTTCAACAGTGATGCACTGACCTGCAATGTTGCGAAAGAGTACCAACACATCATGACTACAAAACTCATGATAAAACAACTGTGGGCTGAGAGCTTAGAAAGGCACAAGTTGGGCAGCACAAGCTGTCGAAATAGTTCGTATGCCTGAAAGTCGTTAAATGAAAGGTGCAAGGCTGAGGGATGACAAAGTTTGTGTTCAAATCTGTAATGTTGGATTATAAGATAAGCAGCACATCATATCTTATGCTTGGCAAATTTTTAGGGTTTCCCAAAAGCAATTAGGAAACGTCGACGTTGCCAATAAAGTATTGTCACCAATCTCGGTAATAGTCGAATATATACTTACAAGAGATTATCATGCTAAGAGTCAAGCACAACTAACAACGCCGATATTCCTAAAAAAAAGTTCTAAGTGCTCTCGTGTAAAACAAGCTCCTCCGCTCAAACCAACCATGCAGTACTCAAGATGGCTTCCTCCCCTCTTTTTTGTAACTTCTTATCCTTCCACTCCCACTAACCTTTTCGAAAGCTATATCAGCGACAGAATGGAGAATTTTGGGTGAGAAGCATGCCATAATTTAGCAGCACTCTATCTTGACGTTGCACAGTACCTTACTACATAGTACCTTGCACTGTAGAATGTCGAGATAGATTACTTCGAAAATGAGAATCACAATTTTTCGCAAGTTGCCTGTATTAATGCTTGTAGAAATCTGCGACCAAATTTCTGTGGAATTGGACTCCCGTCCCTACCATCTCCTTTGGCACCGTATAAGGATGAACATTAAACAGTGGGACATTAGAAAATGACTGTAGATTTCTCAAGAAAACTACTACCATCCGGTGGAGCTCTTTGCTCTACTCCTCATAATTATACCCCAATCAGAGAAGACATCTTTCTGGTATGTCATTCGCTTTATGATATGATTTAGCAACGGAACCTTGAAAGATATTCAAAACTGTGTAAGTCCTTCATGGCTGAATGCGTTAATGAGGTGACAGGCGGATGTCGCTTATGTAACGTTTGACGTTTGAGTTGCAGTTGGCTTCTTTTTGTTCGATTTAAAAGATCCGAAAATGCGATAAAAATAGAGCTGCATTACCTTCCGTTCTGCCATAGGTGAACGTATCCTACTTCTGCATTTCAAATTGAGGAACAGAAAAAGCAAGCAGTTTTAGATCTCCAATGCCTTTACTCGCTGGATGAATTTCCAATGCTGCTTGCCTGAAAAACCCCCTAAACACCCCGACTTTTAGAAAGTGCTAGCAAATTTTTTTTTAGTTTTGGTATATCAAGAAAAACTCTTAAAAAGATCAGATTACCTACTCTATTTGAAAAAGAATTGTGATACCACGATTTTCCGATGGGGCCTGTTAGAATTTCGTACTTCTAATTAGAATGGGAACGAGTGGCATAGCAGTATGTGGCATCGCTATAACCAGATTGGACTAACAATAAGATTCCAACCCGCTGTGCCAAACAAATATCGAATAAAGTTACCCATAGTTGGGTCTCTCACGTTAAAATACATGTTACGAGAGTACGAGAGCTAAAGGTTATGGAAAGCTAAAAATTCTCGTTTTTACTTCTGCGGGTTTGTAGTATGCAGCTATCATACATATAGGGTAACACTACATCATCACTTTGGCAAGCGCATGAAAATTTTCGTTTCTCTAAATTCAGGCCGAGGAATAAATACAGGAACAGTTTATTATGTCTGGTGTGGAAAGTGTATGCTTGAGCCAGTTAGGAAATTTCTAGGACTTTTTTAGACGGAGTTACGATTTTTTCTCGATTTTTCGGGCAGCTGAATCTTTTGGTTTCTGGCTTCAAACTCGAGGTGGACCAAATGCGGTGCAAAAGCAGGAACGAATGGTACTTCGAACCTATTTATAAATAGGAAATCTATGACTTATCATGGTAGAAAATCAATACTGGATGGAACTTATGGGACAACCTGATATCACATGAGATTATTTTTCGAATAGACGTAAAAGCGGAAACTTAGGTTGCTGACCGCAAACTGAAAACAAGAATTTTCCTAGTGTTCTCCTCGCATTTGGATCCTACAGCATCTTCTCTGAGTCTTACTAAGAAAGGCTTGCATCCATATGCTTTTGGTATTGGATTCAGTTTAAAAGTCAATGTAAGTTTCCCTGCTGCAACAAAAATACCGCTATGCACTAACCTGTCCGCCAGTGAAGGCAATCGAGTGTAAAAGATACAGTGACAACATCGTCAATATGAGAACCTGAAATTAGCTAATTAATTATCACAGGCTAAAAATGTGGAAAGTTGAAGTGTTTTTTTGAATGACTAAGGACCAAGTGTTTTGACTAAGGTTTATATAAAGTAACGTGGCACACAAGGAAGGATGAAGATTCACTTCTGAGTTGTTCATGGGGTCCTTGTTTGCAAGATTGTGTGTGTGTGTTGTGTGTGTGTGTGTGTGTGTGTGTGTGTGTGTGTGTGTGTGTGCGTGTGTGTGTGTGTGTGTGTGTGTGTGTGTGTGTGTGTGTGTGTGTGTGTGTGTGTGTGTGTGTGTGTGTGTGTGTGTGTGTGTGTGTGTGTGTGTGTGTGTGTGTGTGTGTGTGTGTGTGTGTGTGTGTGTGTGTGTGTGTGTGTGTGTGTGTGTGTGTGTGTGTGTGTGTGTGTGTGTGTGTGTGTGTGTGTGTGTGTGTGTGTGTGTGTGTGTGTGTGTGTGTGTGTGTGTGTGTGTGTGTGTGTGTGTGTGTGTGTGTGTGTGTGTGTGTGTGTGTGTGTGTGTGTGTGTGTGTGTGTGTGTGTGTGTGTCTACGTTAGCGTAATTAATAAGAAAAGACGACATTAGTAGCACTGCATATTTAAGTAATTTGAGAGCAACTTCACACTCAGTTTGACGCTGGAAGCAGTGTCGATACAGTAGCTGGTGGAAATAAGGAAGTGGCAAAGCGGTTAGATTGGAAGATAGAGAAACAAGATGACGCAATGTGGATAATCCCAGCATTGCTGGCTTGGCTATTTGAGAAATTTACCGCATTTTACCAGCATTGCAAGCACACTATATTGAGCGGGAAATCTCTATTCCATTGTATTCAAAAATACTTTAACTAGATTTTTCTTGTGCATAGAAAACGCAAAAAAAATGGTTTAAGCTTATGCCCTGGTAATCCAGAAGTACCAAGTTTAACGTAAACAGAATCCTAAAAATGCAACAAATTATTTTGCTGGGGCTACTTCTATTGATTTCAGCCAAAGAAAAATAGGAAATTTGGAAGGAGATCCGATTTTGAGGTAGTTGAAAGACCTCGATTTTTGGCTCTACATCTCACCTGGATTACGAGTTAGTGGATCTTTGGCGGTCATTTTTTCAAAGCTTGCTTCGCTCCATCATATGGTATCCTAGGTCTATTAGGAAAACAGAACAACTTAGTTTTTCAAGAAAGGGCTATGTTGGATGGCGCGGATCACTGATCTACCAATAATCAGAGGCGGAAAAAGAGAGGGGTGATTTGGCCTCTCAGCAAGGTTAGCCACTATGGACCACCGCGAAGGGAACACTCCTGGAAGTTTAACACATTGACGACCGCTTGACCCACATGAAGTGTCAAGGCTTAACACACCATATATGTCGTTGAAATGGCTACTTCTTGTGTCAAACCCACCCCGGATGTTTTCTTTTATGCTGGATCTCGACACAATCTTTACTGTTTTTGCCAGCAATCCAGCGTTACTGTAGATGTACTGTAAAGGGAATTGTGCGTAATTTTATCTATAAAATGTTGACTGGTCCGTGAAACGCCTTGGTCGTCAATGTGTTAAACAAGTCGTGAAAAAAGCGGACATCCTACCTTGAAGAGAAGTAAGTAGAAAACACTGCTTTATATCAGATTGAGCCCGGTTTTTGTAATAGCTGAATTGTTGTTAAACAGTTAAGAGTTATTGTTGCTGTAGGAATTCTGCCATTGGGATAAATTTCTTGTATTTATTAGGTTGGCTCGAAAGTTCCTGCGTAATTCAAACAAAATTCAATAACTTTTCAATGACTAAACCTAAATTCACAATCTTGAACTTTAAAAACATTAGAAGGCCTGCGCTCCATGATGGATGTTTAATCGCAAGATTTCATGAGCTAGCCCCGAGAACGAAGCTCTCAAATATAGAACTTCAAAAATTGCAATTTTGAGTTTGGTGCCAGAAAATCGCAGAGTGCCGCTAGCTAGCCGAAAAAAATCTATAGAATTCACTTACACAACAAAAGCCCATATGTTATTTTAGCAGGCTTTCATCTCGCATGGAAACGCGAAAACAAAAAAATTGTAAAAATTCTCATTTCACAGGACAGATCCCCTTATCGATGTAATTTTTCCACAAAAACACAGTTTGCAACCAGAAGTAAGACATATTGCCTATTTAGAACCTTGCGACGTTTTTTGGAGTGTAAAAAAATTTTTTTGCCGAAAAACTGCGGTAATGAGTGGATTTTTTCCGCAAAATGAGTATTTCACGAATTTTTCGTTTTTGCTTCACCGTGCAAGATCAGAGCTTTCCAAAGTAACTGATGGACTCCTGCAGTGTAAGTAATTTTTACAGATTTTTTTTCGGCTAGCTAGCGGCACTCTGCGATTTTCTGGGACCAAACTCAAAATTGCAAATTTTGAAGTCCCATGTTTGAGAGCTTCGTTCTCGGAGGCTTGCTCATGAAATCCTGCGCTTAAACATCCATCATGGAGCGCAGGCCTTCTAATGTTTTTAGAGAACAAGATTGTGAATTTGGGTTTAGTCGTTAAAAAGTTTTTGAATTTTGTTTGAATTACGCAAGAACTTTCGAGCCAACCTAATATTTAGACCGTTTCTCATCGATCAGGTCATATCAAGACTTATCAGTAGACCATCCCCGTTACAATTTACCTTTGAGACACCCTAATATTATTCATGAATGCTAACACATAGGTAAAGAGCACTTGTGTTAGAACCCGTTATATTTACGAAAAATACTTGTGCCTAGAAATACATGTAGCTTGTAAAAGTAAGATTAACGGATTTAACTAATGCGATTTAACTTTGAACGTGGACATCACAATAATCATGCAACTACGACTTGCCTTGCAGTTGGCATGCAAACACATATGACTGCATTTCACAATAACAAAAACAGATAGAATTCCAGAAAGTGAGCTTGCAACCATTTGTATGCTCACTATCGATAAGTAGCCGATATCTGCCTCTGCAGTCGCACAGCCCATGGTTGTAGGCAGGAGTTTCTGGAAACATTGATAGAACACGAAATATTGAGCAAGATCTCTTGAAAAGCGGGACAAGAAAGTAGATTATGGTCGACGTCTCATGATAAACCACAGCGAAAAACTTCATTTTCAAAGTACGGATTGCACACTTTGGAGAGGTATTGAAGAATCAAAAATTTAGCTTTTCTTATGCCTATTGTAATTATAAACGTAAAATTCCGTTTATGGTCTTACGGCTTGACGCAAGTTTGGCAAGGTACCTCTGGAAGCGACTTCCTACATGGGCACTAATTTTGAACGATTTCACATTAGAGGGCGATCTCGAACCCAGGTATAAAAGAAATGCAAGCGCGCTAGACTTCGTTTTTGAGGTTAAAGAGGGGGTCGTAAAAATTGCTGCACAATCATAGCAAAGCTCCAAGACTTTTACATGGAGTATGCGACTGACATGCGGTAATGCTTCTTCTCACGGACGAGCAAAGTTTGAATTTTTTAGGTTGAAATAAACGGATGATTTACTTAGCGCAGAGACAATCATATCACACTGAGATTTGGACCCTTTGTATACAGTATACGTTATATAATATACTACGTAGAATATAAATTCTGAAAACGTATGTAACACACTTTTTTCGAATGAAATTTTAGGACGCTGTTCCCGATCCCAGGCGTATCTCCATCAAGCATATATTGCCGCAAGCTCTCAAAATTTTTGGAACTGCTTATTCTGCACTTCTTGCGCAGAACAGCCCAAACTGCAAAGAGACTTTTAAGCATTCCTCTCCCTTTTTGAGCAATTCATACAGCTTCTGATGATATCGCGCCCAAGTGCGAAATCAACGAAACGTATTCGAGGCGCATATTTGCCTGCATTGACTTACGTCGCTCTTCATGCCTATGACCGTGAAGCGGCTGAGGTCTCTGGACTTGGGGTTTTTCGTAATGATAACGGTATAGCTACCTTGTATATAGTTTTGGGAGAGTTAACCGTCATAGTCACGTCATAGCTACTGGAGCGCTAAGTAGTCAGGCAAGTTGCAGTATTGCTGTAGTGTTAGTGAGAGTGAAGCATCATGTGTGGTTTATCACTTATCATCTCTTCATTTTACTGACTACACTGTTGTGAGACTGCATGCTTTTGATTGGGAGAAGTTGACATGGTAGAAGAATGGAATGTATTTAAAGAACGGTTATAGTTTTCTTGGTTATGAGAATAAATTGGTTTGAATTTAGAACAGTGTTGAATATACATGTGCGCGTTCACACACACTCGGCGCAGTGTGCAGCACATATACAACATTTGTTTACTACACTCAGTAGTAAGAAGAAATTGTACAAACTCATAATACAATTGGAGAAGATACAAAGTTATCAAAATCAATAATAGGCTTATAACGTATTTTAGTGTAAACACAAGTAAAGAGAATTACTGTTAGATAGAGGACATACTTTATACGATAGACGCCTTTCTCAATAATAGTTGTGGTTCATTCTTAAAATCGGGAGGATGAGCTGACTGCGGTCTTTGCGCACACAGGAGCATAAAACACTCATGCAAACAGGCATCAACTTAATGTTCAGCGCAGTGACTTCCAGTGTCTAAGTACTAACCCATGTAAGCAGAAAAACCACCCTAGTAGAGACAGAAATCAAGAAATGGGAGTGCGTGCGTGTCGCGCGTCGCGCCATCGTCACGATTTTTCGAATGCCTCATACTTAAGCTTTGCTCGCGTGATTTACAAGCAGAAAAGAGGCATTCCACAAGAAGCGCCATGTAGTCTGCAGATGTCTGACTCAACATTAGCATTTATGGTATACGAATAGGTTGAAAGAATGGTAGCTAATAGTAACTCGGAAAATTTATATAGATTCAATAGCACCTATACATTACACCGATACACCGATACATTGACGATGTGCTACACATTTCAGATTTGCAAGAAATTTATCACAATGAACTTATCATAGAAAAAACTAATACAAGTGATGCCGAAACCAGCTTTCTGGATCTAAACGTACGAGTATTAGATAACAATATTATATCTATAACAAAACAGATGCATAAAATTTGGAAGTGCTGAGATATCCAGACTGCCAATCCAACTTTCCCAAATATATCATAAGTAGTACTTTAATACAAAAAAAACACTTAGAATTCAAAGAAACTGTTCAGATCACATAAGCTATAAAGACAGACTCTTGTAGTAAGTTTGAGTAAGTTTTGTAGGAAAAATGGTTGGGAAAGGAGAACATTAATCAGAACCTCAAAGGCAGCAGTTCGCCAAAACCGAACATCCCGAAATCTTGACATGGAAAGTTGCTTGCACCCCAAACATGAGAACAGAGCAGTTCACAGCATGCTGCCCTTGCTTAGAAAACTGCCTCTAAACCCGTTACGCGCAAGCCATTCTAATACGCGCAAACGAGTTTGCAATTCTCCCTCACCCGCCAGAGAAGGCATGCCGCAATGTTATAACTGCAAGGGTCCCAAAACGATTCTGCCTCTCTAGCCATGGCGGGACGCGCTCCATTCGTCCAAATTTAAAATGGGAGACCTTAAGAAATGTGAATTCTTGCCATTTTTGCCTTCAAATTGGATTTTCGGATTTAGCACCTTGAATTACCTCAGGTAAGCAAAAAAAAACTTCAAGTAGAGAATATGCCGAGCCCTGCCTTTGAGTCATACCTTAAGAGATAATCCTGCATACTGCGTAAATATGGTTTTGATGTAGCCCTTCATATACCATTGGTCCATGAAATAAGGGAACTCTGGTTCGATTCAGGATGAGGTCCAGATAAGTAATATGGCTCTATCCAAGATCATTACACATGTAATTTGAATTTCCTCAATTAGGAAATGTTTTAAATTAGCTAGTAAAGTAATAGCCGCTTTCTTTCGAAATTTGAAATTTGAAATCAAAAGAAAAAGCTCATTGTACTTTAACTTTTAGTAAACATAAACATAACCCTTAAAGGCAGCGTACACCCAAAATTTCACCTTGATGTTTTTGTCATTCTGGGGCCTTTCCGTGCCGCTGATTACAGTTATGTTATTGAGATTCTCCAGAAGTCCCAAAAAACCCCGATTTCCGGGGATTTCCTCTCTTCAGTGGAGGACAAGTTTCGAACTGCTCGTCCCCTTCGGCATGCCAGCAGCTGCA